TTTATATTTTTAACCTTTTTATTTGGTTTGCAATTGTCAGTTTGTGGTTTTGTCTACAACAGTGCTGACAGCCGAAATGGCACTTTTACTTCGCCTAATTTTCCTGGTAAGTAACCGAAACAACATTGTTTTATACTTTATTTAACAAACACACCGCTGCACACCTAGGTTACTACCCTAAAGACACTGAGTGTCATTATTTTTTCTACGGCAACACCAGTGAACGCATTCACATTGTCTTTAAAGAATTTGACGTTGAAGGCGTCACTCCGTAAGTTTACTTTGTTTTTTCTTCTTAAAAATTTTTTTAATTAATAATTTTAACCAAACATCCAGATGTACTCTGGAAACAGCCAGTGATTACGTTGAATTTAGCAGTGCTGCAGAACGAAAGCTGGTTCGGTATTGTGGTCTAAAGCACCCCAAAACAGTCGAATCTGAAGGCGACTTTTTTCGGCTTACCTTCAAATCAAACGGCCGTTTTGATGGCACAGGCTTTCAGGCTACGTACACTTTTGTCCGTGTTAACAATGGTAAAACTATTTTTTTGTTGCATAAAAATATAGCTTTATGTATATATTAAATTTGTACTTTTTTTAGGAAAACACAAAAACAATGGTCGCAAAACTGTTTCTACAAACTTTTCCTCATCAGCAATAAAAACTGCCGTTGTTTCTAATACTTTGCAAATCGCCACTTTTATCTGTTCATCATTTTTTCTACTGTTACTGAAAAAACACATTAATTTTTGTTTATAAAATGTTATCAAATAGTTGTTAAACTTTTTATTTATTTTTTATTTTTTTCAGCACTTTTTTACTATGAATGCACCATTTTGTTCTATATCACTTTTAATTGGCAACAGTAACCACTTGTTGCTAACAAAATCCATTTATTTTTTTTGTTTCTCAACTTTTTATTTTTGTTTAAAATGCCATCACGGCCAAAGCAATTTACACAAATATTCTAAATAACCAGTATTATATTACAAACTCATTCAAAACATTATAAAAAACTTTATGCTAAATATTTTTGAGCAAAAATTCATTTTTAAATTAAATTAGCAAAAAATGTTTTAAACACACACACACAATTTACAATCAAATTGTTAAGTTGTTACTTTTAATATTAAATGTTAAAAGATTAGATTGACAAAAATTTTTGTTAACATTATATCATTAAAATTCAAAGTTATAAATAAAACCTGCCTCGATATATTATTAATTGTTTTAATTTAATTTTGCGCACATTTTTTGAATATTTTTTCTTTTTAAGCACTAAAAATTTGGCGTTACTAAAAAACATTTTATTGAGTTACTTGAATTTGCCTTATCGGTCACCATTTATCATCTAAAAATGATTTGGCAGTTTGTGCAAAGCGCAAAAACAAATAAAATGTTTATCAAAACTGTTGCTGCGATTTGTCTGTATAATTTTACTACTGCACAGCAACGATCACTTGCACTTTATTTTCATACAAAATATCAATTTTCAAAATCATTTAATTTAGTAAAAATTTTATGAAGTTTTAAAGTTAAAAATGTATTTGTGTGTCACCCAGGGGTGGGAATCGAGTCCACTTTTCCGCTGTAGCTACACAGCCAACNTCAAAACTGTTGCTGCGATTTGTCTGTATAATTTTACTACTGCACAGCAACTATCACTTGCACTTTATTTTCATACAAAATATCAATTTTCAAAATCATTTGATTTAGTAAAAACTTTATGAAGTTTTAAAGTTAAAAATGTATTTGTGTGTCACCTGTAGGCAGTCTTTTGAACTGCTGAATTTTTTCCCTCCCTGACAACCGCGCTGTACTGTTTGCGATGAATGGCTCATTTTATGTCGCTGTAGCAAACGTGAAAAGTTGTTGTTTTGATTTGTCAGTGTCACTGCATCGGACAATCTCTGCAAAGCTTTACTGCCACTGACAAACTTTAATCAGCAATTTGATACTGGCTACTGCTTTTNTCACCTGTAGACAGTCTTTTAAACTGCTGAATTTTTTCTCTCCCTGACAACCGCGCTGTACTGGTTGCGATGAATGGCTCATTTTATGTCGTTGTAGCAAACGTGAAAAGTTGTTGTTTTGATTTGTCAGTGTCACTGCATCGGACAATCTCTGCAAAGCTTGACTGCCACTGACAAACTTTAATCAGCAATTTGATACTGGCTACTGCTTTTTCACGTAAATTTTGTTGTGCTCGTTTTCTTGCTTGATAAGACATCAACTTTCTACTAAATCTCCTTATTTTCAGCTCACAGCAAAGCGCTGCACTCAAATTGGCAATCAAACTGTTGCCGTTCAAACTAATCACTCTGCATACACTTTACTTTTCGCACTAATCTAATCACATTTAGTGAATACTAGAAACTCGGCCCAATTTACTGCAGTTTAATTGAACCAAAATATTTGCAAGTTTGTATTTACTTCTATAAAGTAGCACCTCAACTTGACATTCAAAGTCAGTCAGCGAGCCAGTCAGTCAGTCAGTCACGCCAGTTGACCCTTTAAGCAAGCCAAGCCTCTTCACCAGTTTCTTTTGCCAACTTTGAGCGACTGTTTGTTTCCGTTTATCACTTTAACTACCACTGCAAACAAACAAACAAACAACAATGCCCGGAAAGATTGGCATCATCGGCAGCGGACTGATCGGCCGAAGTTGGTCGATGATCTTCGCCAGTCAGGCGTACGACGTCTACCTCTACGACGTCGTGCCGGAGGCAGTGGACAAGGCGCTGGTGCTGCTCAAAGACCAACTGGAGACGCTGGAAAAGTCGGGCCTTCTTCGAGGCGACCTGACCGCCGCTCAGCAGTTCTCCCACGTTCACAAGGCGGCCAAGCTGGAGGAGGCGGTGGAAGGAGCAGTTCACGTTCAGGTACTACCAAACCTTTCACTTTTTACAGAAGAAAACACTTATTGTTCACACACACACACACACACCCCATTCAACCAACACTTTTCTCCCTCTCTTCTCTAACCTCCCACATAGGAATGCGTCTTCGAGAACCTTGAGTTGAAGCAGAAGGTTTTCCAGGAGCTGGACAGCCTTCCGGCCACCTCCACTGAGGTGGTCCTCTGCAGCTCCACCAGCTGCTTTCTGCCCTCGCTGGTGGCGGCAAAGATGAGCGAGCGGCACCGCGCCCAGTTCATCGTCGGCCACCCCGTCAACCCGCCCTACTTTGTGCCCCTCGTCGAGATCATTCCCTCGCCGTGGACGAAGCCGGCGGTGCTGGAACGGACCAGGCGTCTGCTGACTGCAGTCGGCCAGAAGCCGGTCGTTCTGAAGCGGGAAATCGAGGGCTTCATCGTCAACCGCGTGCAGTACGCCATCCTCAATGAGTGCTACCGCCTGATCGCCGACGACGTCATCTCGGTGGAGGACGTGGACACTGTGATGTCGGAGGGCCTCGGAATGCGCTACGCTTTTATGGGCCCCTGGGAGACGGCCCACCTGAACGCCGCCGGCATGGAGGAGTACTTTGCGAAGTACAGCAAGGGCATCTACGACGTCAGCGCCACCATGGGTCCGCCGCCGAAGATGGAGGGCGCCACGGCGCGGCTGATCACCGAGGAGCTGACCAGAGCCATTCCGGTAGAGAAGCTGGAGGAGCGTCGCAAGTGGCGTGACCAGCGGCTCATTGCCCTCTCTCAGCTGAAGAAGAAGATGGCCGAGTGAAGGTGATGCTAAATTACAGAAATGAAGTAAACACCTAGTTGTTTAGTCGTTAGACAAAGAGTTTAAATAAAGATTTTTTCAAAAAATGTTTCATTATTGGCTTTTTCAATTAGTCAAGTGAATTTTTTGTTTGGTCAAATGGTTAATGTTTATTGAGCAAAATCATTTGTTAAAAAGAACTCTTCATTTCATACAAATACGTAAATGAAAAAATACTGCAATAAAAACTAATGCAGTAAGTTGATAAAAAAGCTGAAAAAAATGAATTAGTATTAATTAGCTTAAAAAGCACACATCATAAAAGTGATAAAAACGAAATAAGTGTTTGTGTACAACAGTAGTTTTGTTTGTTCTGTAAAAGCCTAGAAAATGTCTTTAAATGCCTAAATTAGTTGCAGTAGTTGTGCACCTTACAGTCATTTGAGCATTTGATTTGGAGTTTAGCAGGTTTGTTTGTACGACGGCGAAAAAACACAGTTGAAAGTGCTGTCTCGGGCAATGATCACTTGGGCTGCTTTTTTCCCCCACCTGCTGCTCGACCGTTTCCGCTGGCAGCCGCTGACAGCCACGGATGCGCCAACACCTGATCGGCCGTCAGCCTGGCCGACTGTTCGGTGTTGAGCATGGCGGCAATGAGAGCCTTGGCCGGCTCGCCCACCTCCGCCCAGTGGCGGTCGTCAAAGTCGAAGCGGCCTGCGAGGATCTGGTCAAAGAGGAGGTCCTGGTTGTTCTCCTCATTGGCGAAGGGCGGGTAGCCGCAGAGGAGGATGAAGGCGATGACGCCCGCCGCCCAGATGTCCACCGGGTAGGTGTAGCCGATCTCCAGGAGGATCTCCGGCGCGACGTAGGTGGGCGTGCCGCAAACGGTGAAGAGCAGCTCGTTGGGGAGAATTTCAGTGGCAAGGCCAAAGTCGGCCAGCTTGATTGCCTGGCGGTAGCGACGGCCGGGAGGGACAATGATGCTGTTGCTGCTGCTGCCAGGAACTCCAGCAGCTGTTGAGTATCGAGAGTTTGAGGAAAAGGAGGAGGAACTAGTTCGACCCTTTGAAGGTGAGTTGTTGGTAGTTGCTGTCAGTGGAACAAAGGCGACCATCAGATTCTCCAGCTTAATGTCTCGGTGGATGATGTGGTGGCGGTGAAGGTAGGCGAGTGCCTCCATCAGGTCGCGAAACATCTCCCGTGACTCTGACTCGCTGTAGCGGCCCGCCGAGGTGATTGCGTCAAAGAGGTCGCCACCCTAGAAATGATAATAAAAAACTGGTTAGTATGCAAACAAACAACCAAAAAGAAAGGAGGGTTTTACTACTACTGCACAGTACCTTGAAGAGCTCCAGCACCAAGTACGACTGGTCGACGTACTCAAAGTGGTCGTAGATTTTGACTATATTCGGGTGGCTGATGCGCTTGAGGATGGCCGCCTCGGTGTTGGCACTGTTGGAGGACATGGGCGGCGGTGATCGGTGCTGCTGACCACTTGCGGTTTGGTGGTCTTGCCCACCACTGCTCGACTTGGCCATCATCTCCTGCATGGCGCCCTTGTCGACGACCTTCAGCGCGTAGACACGGCCACTGCCTCGCTGGGAGCAGGTGTAGACGACGCCAAACTTGCCGTCGCCAATTGCCTCGCCAATCTGGTACAGCCTGCCCACCTCTTTTTTTGGAACTAAAGGCAGATGCCGTTTGGCTGGTGGCAGCTGCGCTTCCTCTTCCTCTTCTTCCTCTTTATAAGGAAGGTTTTCATCATTTTCATTATCTACCTCATCTTCTTCTTCATCGTCATCATCCTCGTTGCCTTCCAGCTCAATAGGCGGCTCATCGTCGTCCAGATTGAATTCGGGACTTTTTTGAGGATGGTGACTCCTTTTTGGGGTGCCCTTTTGAGAAAAAGTTGCTGTTGTTGTTGGCCGGTGTTTGGGCGTTGAGTTGGTGCTGGAGCCACTTTTTGATGAGCCATTCCTGTTTGATCGATGTCCACTGGAGACAGCTGATGATGGTGATGATGATGATGCGTGAGTAGAAGGATGATGGGCACGAGGAAGGGATGATGTTGGCATTGTAGTTCCTGGAGCTCGCACCGTACATGAAAGACTAGAAAAGGAGGGCGTCGAAGAGTCTGACGAAGAAGATGACCGAGAGGAAGATGACCGAGAGGATCGAAGGGCTGGCCCACGTTGATGCGGTTGCAGCTGCGCTTTTTGACGATAGGAGTACATCATTTCAGAGGCAGAGTAGTCCCCCTCNCCTTTTGACGATAGGAGTACATCATTTCAGAGGCAGAGTAGTCCCCCTCTTCACCGGTTGCAAAGGTGGAAAAATCCTCTGAACAGCTGACTGAAGAGGCGGCTCCAGGAGTGTTTGTAGTGGTAGTGGTGGTGGTAGTGCTGCTACTTTCACTGAAACTGCCCACCAGCAGATTGCTGCTCCCTGACTGGTGATGGTGATGGTTTTCTCGGTCACTTGAAGTGGTAGTGTCCGACTGCTGATCACACTGCTGCTGCTGCCCCTGCACTGGTGAGTAGGGTGAATGAGGTGAGAGGCTGTGCTGATTGTGATAACGAGGGTGGTGATGGTGGTGGTGATGCTGTTTTTGCTTCAGCTGGTGGTGATGGCTACTATCGTAGACTAGACTGTTTGAGATGTTGTCCGGGTAGAGGAGTGGCAGGTGGTGGCGGTCACGGTAGAAGGCCTCACCGAGAACGTTCTCCGAGGTGGAGTTCTTCAGAATGTGGTGGCTGTCATAGGGCAGGCCAATCAGGTCAGCGTCGCCGGCAATCAAGTCCTCCTTTAGCGAGTACACCGACGACGAAAAACAGGAGGACAGCGAGGATAAGGACTGCTGTTCCTCCTCTGCAGTGTCCTTGTTGTTGTGGTGGTGGTGGTTGTCCGGCAGACTGTTGTTCAAGGCTGATTGCTGGTCAGCGACACTGTTTGCACAACAGTGCTCAGAGTTATCAGCTTCAAAGTTGTGATTAGCTGCTGTTTCTCTTTTCTTTGCAGCTGCCCTGACTCTGCGCTCCGATTTGACTGCTGCCGCCGTTCGCTGAGCCTCTGAGCCCTTATGACTGTGATAGCTCTTTGCGCTTTTAGGGTGGGCGAGGAAGTTTCTCGGTAGTGAAAATGCCTTCACCTCCTCCTTGTCGTTGTTGTTTCCGTCCCGAGACGACGATGAGTGTTTGCCCCTTTGTGGTTGCTGTTGTCTACTGTTGGCCTTTGACTTGGGTTTTGGTTGCTGCTGTTGAGTTGGTTGTCCGTTGTTGTTAGTTGCTGTTCCCGAAGTGGATGTGACATTTGAGACAGCAGTGTTGGTAGTGGCAGCATCGGCTGTTTCACTTTGCCACTGTTTTGCTGACTGCTTTGGCGTGAGGTGAAAGCGAATGGCTCGACTGGCGCTGTGATCAACGGAATCTTTTACTACTGCTGCTGCTGTTTGACGGTCAGTTGACCTGGTTGATTTGACCGCCGAATTGTGCTGAAATTGCTGAAGCTGCTGTTTCATTAGCTCTCCAGGCAGCAGTGCTTGGTAGTTGGCAGTTGCAGTGACGCTAGATTTGTTGCCGACAATTGCCGTGATTTCACGTTGCTCTAGATAATTAAAAAATAAAAATTAGTTATATAACATGATGCTTTGTTGTCATTTCCCGCGTTCACTTACCGCACTCATCGAGCATAAAGTCGAGCAGTGTGCACCGCTCAGTTCTACCGTACACCAGGTACACGTACTCGTTGTCGACTAGAAAGTCCTCCAGTGAGGTGATCTAGAAAAAAAGATGGCCAAAAGAAGACACAACATTTTTACTGTTAAATCATTGTTCACCCATTGCAGCCTCTCATCTAAAAACTCTTACCCTCTTATTGGTAGCAAGTCCGTAGAGCTGGTGAACGGCGCCGCCCACATTGAGCTGGTGATGCTGCTGCTGCACCTGCGTCTGACACTGACTGGCCACCACGGCGGCGGAGATCTCATTCAGCACCTGCTCAAAAGTCTGCGCAATGCGGTAATTGAGAAGGAAGCGAATCGGCCGACGAGAGGGCCGCAAAGAGGGCGCCGCCCGACAGGAGCCGCGCAGCAGGGCGACAATTTTTGGGCGAATGGCAGCCGAAGAGGAGGATGACAGTCCTCCGAAAACTGTGCTTCCCGTGTAAAGTGTGCCGCAATTGGAGTGCAGCGAGTGTGACGCCGAAAGGGTAAGCGAAGAGGAGCCGTTGGAACACGAGGAGGAGGGAGGGACGACGATTGGTTTGCCCGTTGAGCTTGGGCTGTGGCTGCGTGGCAGGTGTGCGCTCGTGGACAGGAGGTACTGCGCGCCAAAAACGGCTGATTTGTGGTGGTGGTGGTGGTGGTGGTGATGATGGTGGTGGTAGTGACTTCCACCTCCTCCGCCTGAAACGGCTCCCGTAGAGCGTGTTAGGAGTGAATCTTTGCCCCCGCCGTTTCTTGCCGCCGACTCCTCGTAGAAGCTCGTAGAGCAGGTCGTACCTCCATCGACGGTGCTCGGTGAGTTTGCGGCGGCGGCGGCGGCGACTGCAGCCAAGTGTCGGTGGAGCAGACTGAGACTGGGGTAGTGCAGCGAGCGCACCAGGCGGACGGTGGAGGAGACGGCGTACTGCCCGCCCACCGCCAGCTCGCCCACCGACTGTACGGCCGTGCCGGTGGCAATGTCGAGCATGTAGCGCACCCCGGAAGGCAGTGATTTCTAAAAAGAGAGAAGAACAAATGTTGTTGTTAGAAGAGTGGATGGGAACTCAATCAAAGTGGTCGGAAGTTGTGCATGAAATGCCACTGCCAAAACGTTTGATGCTATGCAATTGATTGCAATTGCACTCAGATGTACAATCAATAGCTATTGGCAGTGAGGGGGTTTAAACAAAAGAGGAAGTAGTCAAAGTAAGTGTAAGGTAAGCTGCTCCTCGCGTTGGAGAAGTGTCTTTCACTTACGCCCACGCGTCGCTTGTTGCAACTTTTTTTTCAGCTAGGCAATAAATAAAGCAAACGTAAACTAACACCATGTTGCATTGGGAAAGAAATTCTTTTCCTAAAGCTTGCTAGTTTGAGCAAAGTGTTTAACTTGTTTGTCTTTTTAGAAACTTAAAAGCTACCATTTAAAACAGTTAAAAAAATTTGCAACTTACCACTGAAACTAGAAGACGGGTCAGCTCGGCACAGAGTAGGTCCATCGTCTTGATGCGATCCAGGTTGATGACGTACGGTCTGCCGGGAAAGTGGCGGTCACCGTTGACGTAGAGGGTGATACGGAGGTGCCGCTGCGAGTTGGCCCCGCGGAAGGTGCTGCCATTCAGTGAGGGCAGGCCACGTTGCGGCAGTGCTGACAGGCGGCGAGGTGCTCCAGGTGGTACTGTTGCTGATGCTGATGCTGCTGCTGCTGCTGAGGTCGTCTGCTGTTGATCACACTCGGGTTGCAGGGCCACCTCCTCGGCACCCTCATCTTGATCCACATCCTCCTCCTGCTCCTCCTCCTGCTCATCCATCATTTGAATCGGATGATCATGAGCACGTTGTTGATCACGGCAGCGGCTGATGCTGCTGCTGGCGTCTGCTGTCAACAACCGACCTGCTTGATGCCGACTCTGACTAGTAGTAGAGGTGAACACTTTTTCTGGCATCTTTTTGCTGGTGTTGACCACCACCATAGTGTGTAGTTAGATTAGGCAGTGTTTAGGAGAACAAACAAACAAAGTCGAAAGAGAGAAAAGAGTTGCTCTTCGTTTTGTCTGTTAATGATAGAAAAGCAATAAAAAGCTGCTGTGTTGTGATGAGAAGAGTAGAGGTGGTGTAATTAAGCTGTTGCTGCTGCTGTTGCAATTAGCAGTAGCAGTATTGTATAGAAGAAGGGAGAAGGAGTATAGAAGCGGCAAGTCACTCGCTGGCAGTGAAGGTGATCATTATTGTCGGTGTTGTTGCTGTCGCTGATGCTCACTCAGGTAGTCGTAGCAGTAGTGCACAGGTGTTCTACTGTACTGTGTTGTGCTGTACAGGTGCTGTCCAGGTGATGATGATGCTGCAACAGCTGCTGGTAATGCGGGTAGTATAATAATGGTAGGGTGAAAAGGGTAGGTAGAGGAAATCAGAGAGAAAAAGATGANACTGATGCTCACTCAGGTAGTCGTAGCAGTAGTGCACAGGTGTTCTACTGTGTTGTGCTGCTGTACAGGTGCTGTCCAGGTGATGATGATGCTGCAACAGCTGCTGGTAATGCGGGTAGTATAACAATGGTAGGGTGAAAAGGGTAGGTAGAGGAAATCAGAGAGAAAAAGATGAAGAAAAGTAAACATCAGCTACTGCAGGTTATGTGCAGTGAATGTGTGTGTGTGTGCAAAAATGTGTGCTGTGTACTTGTTTGCATATTAGCTCCTGACAGCTGCCAGTGTGTAAGTAGTGGTGGCGATAAAACGGGCGGCAATTAGCACGATTGTCGTCGCTAATGCTGTTGCTGCCTGTGTTGTACGTGTTGCTATTAAAGTGTGTGCAAGTGTGTATGTGCATGCCCCGCAAGTCAAGTAGTAGTCTCTGTGGAATAATCTGCCATTTTTCTCTCTGCTTCTCGTTTGTTTGTTTGTTGTTTGTTGCCTGCTGTTTCTTCTGTTCAGTCCGGTTGCTAAAATTCTTTCTCTCGTTTCTTCTCCATTAATGTTTATGCCTTTGAGTGTCCGAGTGCGCGCGTCTGTTTATCCTCCTCATCAGTCTGCTGGGCCTCATTTTATGATTATTGTTATGATTACTGCTAGTGCAGCACTGCTCACGATGCCGCAGCAACAGCAGATGCTGAGGATGTTGTGATGTTATGATGTTGATGTTATGATATAGCTGTTGCTGCTGTTTTGAATAGCTGCCACCGGACAGTTGAGTTCATTGAGTTTGATGCTGTTGCTGTTGCTGTCAAGTTTGCCTTTTGCTTGACCAGTGTTGCTCTGTAATAATAATATTGGTGGTGGTGGTGGTGGTGGTGATGATGATCACTGAACATCAACAAAAACCAATCGTCTGTGATGTCGATAGTCAGCCATGATGCAATTACTGTTCGCTGTCTGCCGGCATGCAAATCGGCTGATTAAAGTCCTTTCCAAAGCAGTTGTCAACGGCAATAAAAAGGATGGACAGCTGAGTGTAGACAAACCCAACAATCAGCAGATTTCCGCCACTGTACAGTTCACTACTGGACGCTGAATGTTGAAATGCTGTAATTAAAAAAATGGAAAAAATTCATTAGATGAACGAGTGTAAATAATGCAAAATTGGAAAACATAGTTACAAACAATTCGACAATTGACTTGGGACACACAGTTGAACAGAAGCAAACCAAGTAGCAAATTAGAAATCTGAACACACACACAGAGCTCACTTGTCGCATCAGTGCACACCGTACCGAAAGCCGGCGCAGTGATTAGTGCACAACAAATAATAACAACTACTAAGCAGACAGGCAAAAGAAAAGAGTAAAAGAAAGAGAAGAGAAAAATTGTGGCAAAGTATCTTTGCTGCACCAGTGGCACAATTTGATTAGCAGAAGCCGCCGTGTTTGCGTGCCGGTGCCTGCTTTTTTGGTGCCAGGCAAATATGTCTACGGTACACTGATTTTAGAGAGGTAAAAGGTAAAAAGGGGGGAAAAAAGTGAGCTTGCGCTCAGTAGTACCGGCCTGTTAGTTTGCTTCTGTTGTCCTTTTCTTTGGTAATCCGTGCACCGTCTCCAGTAAGTAGGAGCTCACTGATATAATAGAAGCCGTGTATGAGTTGGGTGAGCTACTAAACTGAGCTTCTTTCTTAACCAAATTACCAACAATTGCTGAGAACGGAAAGACTGCTTCTGTTGTTGCTATTGCTGTTGTTGCCAATTAATAATAATCAAGTTGAACTAAATTAGCAAATGAACATGCAGAAACCGAAGCAGCAGCAACAACAGCAACCACAGCGAGGAAAGGCAACCACCTTCTGCTAACAGCTACTACCTTGCAGGACTTATTAGTTTAGGTACTGTTGCCGACATCTTTGCTTTGAAATTTGCCACTGCAGCTGAAGCACTGGTTGACTTCATTGACTGACTGACTGCTGATCATCACAATTGGTTTCGCCTCAGGTGCGCCTTTGAGCAATGATTGTCTTTGCCGCTGCCGCCGCCGCCATTGCTGCTTATGAAGCAAACACTTGACAAAGAAAGAAAGAGAGCGAAAGAATAGAAAAGCATGCAAAAAGGCACACAGAACTAAACAGTGGACAGAGTGCGAAGTGTGAAGTAATGAACGATGACGAGAGCGAGAAAAGAAAATGGCGATGGTTACCTCTTATTCTCCTTCACTTTTCCCTCTTTTGATTGTCAATTGTGTTTGCCTAGTTTGACTGCAGATTCAATCGCAGTTTGTGCTTGTGTGTGTGCAGTTAGAATGCACTTTAGAATGCACATGTCGATGTTTTGTGCACTACTTGGCGCCTGAAAAACCATTGGAAAAACCAGTGGACAGTTTAGTGATGATGGTGATGTAGAAATGTTAACCTTTTCAGTCGAATTAAAGAGAAGTAACTGTGGTGGTCAATAGTGGTGGTGCTCACAGCCATAGCTATTGTGTGTCAACGCGTGTTGACACATTGTGAAAGAGTTTCAGAGAGAACAGAACAGTCAGAAACACAAACGCAAGCTGCGAGTGTGCTTGCACTTTGCCTGTCCGTCAGTCAGTCAATTGGCTGGACTGCAATGATGACTGTCTGTCATCATTGTCAGCATCACCGTCGCCGTCACCACCACCATCATCATCATTTTCATGATGAAAAAGTGAGTGGCCACTGAATAGACTTGCAGGCATAGCTAAGCATTGACGGCACAATGAAACAAGTCGAGTCGAAGATAGGAGATACGGTAAATTGTGAGTGTGCACTGTGCGCACTGAAATGAAAGAAGGTGATAGTGATGCCAGGCAAAATTGTCTTGTTATTTTATTACAGCATCGGTTTTTTTCTAAAATACAAAACTGTTTATGCTTAGATAAACTTTCTGCTGTCGTCTTCAGTAAAACGTTACAAACAATAGTTGAATTTTGCAACTAAACCAGTTGTTATTATTGCTAAATAGTTAGTAAAATACAAAAACTTAAAACAGTTTTTAAATGTGTGCTTTTTAAAAGTCTGCCGTTTGAGCATCAGTGCAATAAATTGTATTAAACAAAAAAATTAAGAGAGGGTAAACGGTAGTGGTGGGCAGTAAACTAGAATAAAAAATAGTAATTGTAATAAGCAATTCAAACTTACCATAAAAGGACATTTAAAAAATGTTCTGAATTAATGAGTGTTGCACTGTGAGGGTGCACTGCGTGTTGTCGGCAAAACAAAAAACGGAAAACATACACATACACATACAATTCAACTGTTTTTCTGTACAAAGTGTTCAGTAGTGGTTGATGATGCCGTTGTTTTGTTTTTGCACACTACTAAAAGCCCATGTGTTTAACAAATACAAAGTTGAATAGGAAAACTAAAAAGCAAATTGGCTGTAAAAATCAAGACGGCGGTAGTGGCGTCAGTAAGATGGCTGGCTGTGGCTGCTGATTAGGAGTGGCTTGAGATTGGGCTTTGCCATTAGATTGAGTGCTTTTCAGTAAATAGAAATTGTAATCAAGAAAAGGAGGAGGAGGAGGAAGAAGAAGAGAAGGATGCGGCTGCGGCGGAAAAAGAGTTGGTAGTGGTCTTGTTGGTGGTCTAAAAGTTAAACGCCAAGAAGGACGCAGTATTGATTGCAGTCACAAAGAAAAAAGCTGCTGACCATCGTGGGCGACCACTGCAACGGTGAAACGCTCTGGAGTGGAATAAAAATGGCAAATGCTGACTTCCACAGCAGCACCAGCCGCAGAAACCGGCAAGGCTTTTTTTTGCGGCACTGTTAGGAGAGTCGGAAGGGAAACTTGGTGCTGAAAAGAAATCTCCAGCAGAAACTAGGGCCAACGATGATGAGGGTGTTGTTGATAGCAAAGAAAGGCAATGTTTACATATTTCAGCAGCCAGAAAAAGCTCTCACTTCTACCACCAGTGCACACTGGACAGTGTCTGCCAAAAGTTTCGGCTGAAGTTGCTGCTGTTGTCTATCATCTTCATTGTGCTGCGGCTGCTGCCTGTCTGTTGTCAGCGTCTGTCTTGTCAGGCAGAGAAAGAAAGAAAGAGAGAGAGAGAGACTGAGAAACTAGTGAGAAACTATGTGAACGGAGGCTGTGCACACTGCTGAGACAATGTTTCGGCAATGTGCACGGATTGTGGTGGCACTGTCTCTCTCTCTCTCTTTCTTTTCTCTCTCCAGGCTAAACTGACTACAGCTAACTGCACAGGACTCACTGCCTAGTTTATAAACTGAGCTTTGCGTGCATAGACTGCAGCATCGGCGTAGCCGATGCTTTCTTTCTAGTTTTGACAATCTCTTCAATTTCTCTCGCTGAGTCATAGTAATCTGCTGCCAGTGTGTGTTGCGTCAGTGGCGACAACTAGTGCCTCAGTTTTCAGTTTGTTTTGAGACAAAACTGACAGAGGAAACACGTTTACTAAATAATCATATTAAATACAGGAGCGTTTCTTATTTGCTGATAAAGTTTTTTTAGACTACCAACATACTCACTTATGATGTCCTCTTAAA